GGGTTTGGGGTTTTGGGTTGAGGGGTTCAGGGGTTTAGGGTGCTGAAGTCCAGGGGCTCAAACCCAGCGTGTTTAGGACCACAGGGCCTCCAGGGTCCAGGGTTTGGGGCTGCAGAATTTCATGTTCAGGGTTTTCGGGTTTCGGGCTTGAGGTCTCTAGGGTCTAAACCCGAAATCCTCAGGCCTTAAACCCTGGGGTTTAGGGTTCAGGGTTTAGGGTTTAGTTTGAGTATCTCAAGGTGTCGTCCACCACAGTTTCGGCCAGGGGAAAGAGCTATTGGACCCAGACCTTCCAACGTCCCGTAATTAAGGCATGTACCTTAGATCATATGAAGGGTCCTACTAAAATTTAAATGCATATTATGTAACTAAAGGGTTTTGGAAGATCTGGGGACAAGCTGCGCCTTCCAACGAAGTAGCGCACACTCTCTTGGCAACCACTACCCGGCCAGACTTTGCACTCTCTCGACTGGGTTCCTAAGAAACCGCTGTCACCCTGACCCAAAACAAAGCACCACCGAAAGCCCGACACCCTAAAGCCCACTTCCGGTGACGAAATAAAACACCCCAAAACAGTCGGCCTCCCACGTGGACGCACCCTCCAGGATGCCCGCCTTGTCGGGCTCTCGGGGTGGGGGTATTTCAGGGCAGAGCATCGTCGAACTTTTCTCTGATTCTGTAGGAGCTAAAAGTGGATAATACCACAAACCATGCAGACCTCTAGATGAGACTTGGTGTTTATGGATCAGCCTCGCATCATCAAAGCCGCGGCATTAATTTTCGCTCGAAGGTCTAGATGGGGCCTCCAAAATCAGCAAGCACCCGAAGCCCAAACAAATGGAACCAATTCCATCATAGACGGTTTTTTCATAGTCGGTAGCACGACAACAGCCATCACAACCATGAGCACAGTCATCCTGGTCGTCATCAACACCGGCATCAGGTCGAAGTCACCATCATCTGCCAAACCATCATCAACAATACCGCAATGATGCCCGCCGTCATCTTAGTATGCTCAAGTTCATCAGAATGCTTGTGATCATCTGCATCATTGTGAGCTGGCTGCGCTTCTGCTGCGGCGTCTGGTAACTGAACGTGGTCCGGGGCACTGCCACCCTCCAAATGTTTCAATAGCCTTCCCTGAAGCTGAACCAGTTCAGGGCTCAGTGAAAGCTTGATGTCTTGCTAGACGGATGCCTCGGCGCACTTGTCGAAAACCTTCTTCAGCTCGGCTAGCGACAACACGTACAGGCCTCGGCAAGCGAAGTGGGCGCATGTCCACAACATGCAGGAAATAAAAATAACATGATAATGATAGCAATGACAACAAAGATAAGGATAATGACAATGGCAATGATAATGATCATGACAGCAACAATAACAAAAATGATATTAATGATGGCCTCATGGGGAGATTCGGCTGTTCTATGTGGAGTCATTCTGAGGTATGGCGTCGAGAAGCCTGACCAATAGACTCAGCATTCTGAATCCTGTGCCTCTGACCCATGACTCGTCTAAGATGCCGACAGACTTCTGGCAGCTTCTCGCCTGGCAGACAGGCACCGTACAAGTTTGAACCGGGTGTTTATGGTGACCTTTTTCTGTCTGCAGAGCTGTCTTCAACAAGAGCACAGATTGTGCAAGTGAACCAACGAAGCTCATCACCAGGTAACGGTAGCAAGCAGCTCGCAGCCGGACGAATTCAACTTCCTCAGTATTACTTCAAGAGCGGCATGAGGGCTCTCCTCATGCCTCGGCCCAAGTACCTTGATGTCATGGCCGATGACATCCGTTGCCACACCATTAGTTGAACGCCCGAAGGTGCCTGAGTACTGAACCACATAAAGCCCGAACGGGCTGTACAGACCAACCCAGAGCTCGTCAAAGATGCTCCAGTCAGCTTCGCCAAGGCCGCTCGGGGTAGCAAACTTGATACAGGTAAAGTGTACCTTCCAAAGCTTATGGTTGCAGTCCCACCTCAACATTGAGGACTTGAACTCGACTCGAGTGCGATCTCGCACCCAGTCAGCACCTCTGCGACCCCCACTGTGCCGCTGTTCCTCTTCATCCACAGTCGGCACGACCCGACTGAAAGTGCTGCCCGGGTGCAACATCTGATCGACAGCAAAGGCAACTTTTTCCAAGCGAAGGCCGCGTGAACATGGGCTGTGGTTAGACAGTGGGACTCCTCTGTACCAGTATGACAACAAGGAAGTACTCTCGTTTTGCCGTTCCTTCGCCAAAAGGTCCTCAATGAATCTGCTGTCAGTCCGAATGCTCCCGATATTCTGGCAAGAATTGGGTCGTTTCTGCAGCTTTTCGAGCATCCCTTGGCAAGCCTGACCCGCATCCTCCAGCCCAGTGCTGCCCCTAACTACCACCACATGACCAAGGCCTGCCGTCCGTGCTCCTTGAGCACTGACGAATGCCGTTCCATCATGCCGGAGAACATCTATTTGCCCCGGTGTGTGAAGAGCGAGAAACAAATCGTCGAAGCAGGCCTTGTCAAACTTGATGTTTGCCCAGGTGGCTCTCCACGAGCGACAAGCACGTGACCAAGCCAGGCTTGTTCCTTTGCACTCCACCCTGCGCCCGCCATACATGAAGTCAAACTCACTCTGGTGAGCTGCTCTCTTGCTGCCGTTTACACACAAGCCGGGGGCTGCATCTTGCACAGTGGCCGGATCATCAGAGCTTGTCAAGGTGTGAACAATGGCCTGCTGTAGCACACGGCCTTTCGAAGTGCTGTGAAGCCCGAAAAGGGGATCCCCAACATAGGCGGCCTGCGTGGGAGACAACTCGTTTGCCAGAGCATCTGGGAACTGGGCTGCCCGCAAGGTCAACAGTTGACGTGTCCTTCTACCCCGGTGTGAGCAAGCAGACTTGGCGCCAACGCAGCAGGTCAGATGCCTGCATCCAACTACAAGCATGCATTATTATGTCTAAGAAGTAAGCAGTAACGTGACTTTGATTGCCCTTGAGCCAGACGGATGCACCATGGAAAGAAGTTCAGTAGACTTGATACCGAGGGGCATGCTCTAGTAGGACATGTTGGAGGGGACAAGATTTTGCACGGCGCAAGCTTTTCAGCCATTGGCCGATCCCCCAGACATGGGCTTTAGAAAGAGCAGTTTGGGGCAACCGTCTGCTGTCAGAAGGCCCACAGCTGGACACCACACCGTAAACCCTAAACCTTGAACCCTAAACCCAAACCCCTAAACACCAAACCCTAACCCCTAAACCCCAAACTCCTAAACCCCTCAACCCCGAAGCCGCTGAACCCTAAACCAAAGCTTGCGGGCAAACCACCCTTCTGCTCCGAAGTCCTACCGCGTGGCGTGGCGTGGAACTGAAATTAAGTTAGGAGAATAAGGGCACCCTAACATGTACTCTATGTATATATAAATACATATCCCTACTATGGTAACTAAAACTTACGTTCCTTAACAGCAACCCAGCTAACTTGGTGGTGGTGCAACATGGCGGCATGGCTGGGAGTCTCGCCAGGCATCTGGGCTTCATCGTCCTCCACGAAAGTCAGCGTCCTCAGGTGGGACATGCCTAAGAAGTTTCTTTCCTCAATCTTCACGTGAACCCATTGCAGCAGATCACCCAATTTGCACTGCTAAACTTGAGCAGGCAACGGAAAAGCCCTGAAGCCCAAAAGCCTAAACCCTAAACCCTAAGCCCCTAAATTCCAAAACCCCAAAACCCTGAACCCCTAAACCCCTAAAACCCTAAACCCCTAAACCCCTAAACCCTAAACCCTAGACCCTAAACCCTAAACCCCCAAACCCTTACACCCCTAAACCCCTAAATCCTAAACCCTAAAGCCTAAACCCTGAAGCCCAAAAACCCTAAACCTGAAATTCGAGTACCGAGCTGATGCAGGGCTTTCCCCAGGGAGAAGTTCAGGGCATAGCCCTGGCGCTCAACATGGGGGTAGTTCTCTGAATTAGGGTTTAGGGTTTAGGGTTTAGGGTAGTTCTCTGAATTAGGGTACCTTTTTCGGTCCCCAATACAGTACGGCACCCTTATAAAAAGGACCCTAAAACGGACCCTAATTTAGACAACTACCCAATGGGCTCTTGCCACAGACTGCGCTGTTGGATGGATTCGTTGGTTGGGTGGGGCTAGTTTCTACGAGTTACAGCCACATGGCTCCTATTTGCGTAGCTATGAAGCTTAGATCAATTTACTGGGGCATTCGAGGATGTAAAATTTTGGGAGCTAGGTTCAGAATTTAGGGTTGGGTGTTTGCTAACAACACAAAACAAAGGATCCATGGCAATGGATCCATGGCAACAACCAACGAGCGCCGTTGTAGCAGATGTGCTCTCCAAGGTATATAACTTTATAAGTCGACATACACATCATCTGTGACAAAAAGGTCACGGCAGCACAGAAAGGCCTCTTGAAGCACCCCTTGCCCATCAAAATGTCTGACTTCTCAGGCCATTCCGGAACCCTTATAGGAACCTCTTTCGCCATCTCTCCTAATAGCTCGTAGACGTACCCCTTACTGAAGCGGCAGTCGTGCCGATGGGCCTGCTTGTTTTTCGTCATTGCACCGCTCAGGAAGTGCGCGTAGAACCGCACGACCTTTGGCACTGGGTTTGGGGTTGAACCCGAAACCCTAAACCCTAAACCCTAGACCCTAAACCCTAAACCCTAAACCCCTAAACCCCTAAACCCTAAACCCTAAACCCTCAAGGTTTAGAGGTGTTTCGTGAAGTCCTGAGATCCTCCAAAGCAAGTGGGGTTTCCGAAAATAGGGGACCCTACTATAGTACCCTAAATAATAGGATCCCTATTATAAGGACCCCAAAATAAGGTACCCTAATTTTCGGAAACCCCCAAGTAGACCGAGCCCAGGGCAGATCCGGCCTTTCCTGCCATCAGAGAAATCCGACAGAGACGGAAGCTTAGTGCAATGTTAAAGTTTAGGGTTTAGGGTTTAGGGTTTAAGGTTTAGGGTTTAGGGTTTAGGGCTATGTACTTTCTATGTTTTCTATATTACAATATACTACTGTAATGTACTTTCTATGTTTTGTATTACCATATACGATCATACATTTTTTTTGTACAGCACTTACAAACTGTTCCATGAAGACGGTTGCGTGCCAGCGCTAGACAGATGCAGGTAGAGTTGCTGCTACGAGTTGCTGCCACGGGAAGAGCTCAGCACGACAAATGCAAGCCATCCCAGCCACCTGCGGGGATGGGGTAGGTGGCCCCGATCAGAGCCAAGGTATTCGATGCCTGCAGGAGCCGCAACACGCAAGCGGATATACCCCAAACCGTGGACCTTGAAGCCCCTAGACCTTGAACCGATGTCAAGCAGATCCGCAGAAACTCAGAGCCCTCAGTGCTCTGATGTCCTGTCTTCACGAGTTACTCGGTGCTTCAAGGCTTTGATACATACCCTAAACCCTAAACCCAAATGAAGTGCAGCCGACCTTGTCCGTCCCTGGGAGAACTGATCTCATGGTCTTGCTCATCCCTCCAATCGGAGCCTCCGGATGAAAAGCGACGCCGCCAATATGGAGCTTGGACAATCAGAGCAGGCTCTTGAGGTTTCATCTACCGGCACTACAAGGGAATACTATTGCCAACTATTCCGATCTCGATAGGCCCTAAACCCTAAACCACCTTATGAAAAGCCTTTGGGTCAGCAAAGCTGCCATCGGACAAAGAGTTTGCGGTAGTTTAGGGTTTAGGGTGTACTGTTTTAGGGATTATGCTTAGAGTTCGAGTTCAGGGTTTAGGCATGACGAGGCACTAACTTGCTCCCTGGCATGCGGTCTAATGTGCTTCAGAGACCCTGGTCCTCGTGCACCTCAAGATATCAGGACCCATATAGAAGTTTCTTAATCAGGTTCCTACATGATGCCATCACCAAACCGCGACTGCTAAGGGCAGGCACAGAAACAGACTTCAAGGTTGCCAATGCAGCGTGGAAAACCGAACGGTCCTGCAAAACCAGGGACGAAACGTATGCCTTTTGCCCGAACATAAAAATCTGTCTGAATGGAATGACATAGCATGCCATAGGGCACAGGGTAAACGGTGTTTGTGTTACGCAGGGTACTTCAACACAACTGCATTAGGCTTTGGTTAAACCCTCAACCCTAAAGTCCAAGCCCAAACCTACCAAAGTGTGCCTGATTCACGGCGAGATTGTTCTGCCCGCTCGGATCGACCAGTAGGATGGCATCTGCGCTGCCTTCTTCCTCACTGCTTGCAGTTCTCAGGGCTTAGGGCCTAAAACTTACAGGCACCCACGGGTTCCGTCACTATGAAGTTATACTGCAGGGGTATGGAATATTGCAGCAGATTCCGGACAGGTTCAGCATGGGAACCTGCAGTTCACAAGCAACAATTGAAAGTAAGTCTGATGCGATGACATGACACATGAAATTTCGTAGTTTCGGACCTGCTAAACGGTATGTAAATGATACGACTTCAGCTAGAAAACTTGGTTTCGCGATGCGCTTGCTCGCGACATCCGGATAGGAAACTGGCCACGTCCTGGGCATTCAGCAACCGTTTCAGTTGAAGCACTCGCAGCTTGTATAGAAACATCTTTCGAAACCCTTACAATAGTTGTCCTAGATACCCTTGTAATTATGTTTATGGAAATCGCCTTAATACATTATGTGGTAGTACTGCCTAGCCCAACACTGCATCTTCCAACGTGACCAGACGGTCTCGAATCGTGAATCCCGAAATCAAACTTTTTCGACAACAGATCCAGTTCCAAAACAAGTATACCGTGCACTGCTTATCTAAAGAACTGCGTAGAAAGACGGAACGCGAAGAAACAAGACTTCCGCCTTCAAGTGGAAGACTTCCTGCACCAAGACGCCGCCCATGGACATCTCCAGCTTCTGACCTGGAAACTCGGCTGTGCGTTGTCTATGTCCTCTCCCAGATATCACCACGGGTGGAACAAAATTCTGTCGAAACGCTTGTTTCAAGATGCAACATCAACATCGACGCTGACCTGACAAAAAACCAAATCTAACGAAGTGGGCGCCTGCACACGATAAAAGAACCTGGTCTGCGAAAACACATCCCCAGGGTCCCCAGGCGATGAATGCACTGCTGTTTATCATGGATGCGTAACGGGCATGCAACAGGAAGTTCCTTCGTGCTTGTGAGCCCATTTGTCGTGGTTCATCTGGCGAAATCCCAGGTTGGCCTGACGGCGACAACTGCTTCGTCAAAACGTTTTAACCATGACTGCCGCCATCAACAACCAGACCTGCGGAGCAAAATGCTGTGTTGTGCGCCATCTTACAAGCTTCTGGCACCGGCGAGGGGTGACCGGCAAGACAGCGAAGAAGCCAGAACAAACCGACACAAAAAAAAAACGACGGTCTCAACTTTTCTAGCACACTCATACTTGCAAGCATGTTGGCTTCACAGGTCTCCTCTCACTGCGCGCATGGGGTTGCCACGCAAGTGCGCCGTCACAACAACCAAATCTTTTCAGAAGTACCTTCTGTGCTACAAAGCTCGTACGAATGCAAGGTCACAACCGCGAAACAATACTACAACTGCTTCGTCAGAATTTTCGAATACGACCACCACCGTTAAGAACGAGACCTGCATGTCAAATGCTGTATTGTGCGGCAAGCGGTGACATGCACGCTTGCGAACAACACAAGCCAGAATAAGCCGACACAAAACCGACACCATCAACTGTTCAAGCGCACTCACTTTCACAATTTCAAGCATGTTGGCTCCACAGGTCTCTTCTCACTGTGCACTTGTTGCCCATTCGCACGCACCATGCCCCACCACCCGCGTTAGCCCATATGCGGAGGTGTCATCTGGCAGAATGCCAGGTTGGCCTGAAGGCACGTGCGGTGCCCCACACCCGACCAACGGTGCGACCCAACATGGCCAAGTGCCGTGCTGGGTT